TATATATATATATATATATATATATATATATATATATATATGGCAATGAATATATGACATTACACATTTGTTAAAACCCATAGAATGTACAACACAAAGAATGAACCCTAAGGTAAACTATGGACTCTGGGTGATACTGACGTGTTCCTGTAGGCTCATCAATCGTACCACTCTGTTGGGGGATGTTGGTTATATATATGTGGGGTTAGGGAGTATATGGAAACTCTCTGTACTTTCTACTCAATTTTGCTATGAATCTAAAAAAAAAATCTATTTTTTAACAAAAGGAATGGCTTTACAATAATTTTTTAAATAAAATAATAACAGGTTTAAATTTTTTTTTATCAGAATGGCCATCATCAAAAAGCCTACAAATAATAAATGCTGGAGAGGGTGTGGAGAAAAGGGAACCCTCCTACACTGCTGATGGGAATGTAAACTGGTACAGCCACTATGAAAACTAAAAATAGAGTTATCATATGACCCAGCAATCCCAATCCTGGGTATATATCCAGAAAAGATGAAAGCTAATTTGAAAAGATACATGCACCCCAATGTTCATAGCAGCACTATTTACGATAGCTAAGACATGGAAGCAACTGAAATGTCCATGGACAGATGAATGGATAAAGAAGATGTGGTGTATATATACAATGGAATACTACTCAGCCATAAAAAGGATGAAATAATGCCATTTGCAGAACATGGATGGACCTAGAGATTATCAGAGTAAGTGAAGTAAGTCAGAGAAAGACAAATATTATGACATCACTTAAATGTGGAATCTAAAAAACAGTACAAATTAACTTATTTATAAAACAGGAACAGACTCACAGACATAGAAAACAAACTTATGGTTACCAAAGGGAAAGGAGGGAGAGGGATAAATTAGGAGTATGGAATTAACAGATACACACTGCCGTATATAAATTAGATAAACAACAAGGATTTACTGTAGAGCACCGGGAACTATATTCAATATCTTTAAATAACTTATAATGGAAAAGAATTTTTTTTAAAGATTATATATACAACCAAATCACTTTGCTGTACATCTGAAACTAACACAATATGGTGAATCAGCTATATTTCAATAAAAAATTTTTTTAAAGAAAGAAAATTTCCCAGAACTTAGTGACATGTTTGTTTGAAAGAGCCCACTGTGTCTGGCATCATAGATGGAAACAAAGCTACACCAAGAAACATCACTGTAAAATTTGGGGCATGGGAACCAAGAAATTTTCCTACAGATTTCCAGAGAGTTAGAAAAGATCTGGATACAAAATGCCTTTGGACTTCTGAAGATAGGAGATACTGGAAGACAGGAGGCAATAGCACAGGTATTCAAAATTCTGAAGGAAAATTATTTCCTGCCTGAAATTCTGTGTTTATTTGGATGTGTTCCCCGCAAGAAAGAGGAAGACCTGGGATGCAAGGAATAGGAGAGCCACATAGGAAAGAGGGGAAGGGAATTCCCATGGCAGGATGACAGGAGTCCTCAGCACGACAGCTGTATAGAAGTTGTCAGATGGCAGCTGTCCATGTCCGAGCAGGTCAACAGGCTCCAGGGGAGATTTTCTTGGGAAGATGAAATTGTGAAAATAACTGATTTACCCAAATCTGTTAAAAGGAGATTTATGTAAGTGGCTGAGAATTTAGGATCAAATCACAGAGGAACATAGAAAAACTAAGCAAATGGAAAAATAAGACAACTATTAATTATTAGGAAAAAAAGTTTCGAGGGAAAATTAATCTTAGTTAACTACATGTTTCAGCTGAGAATATATTAGCGTAATTATGTAAACAGTAAACAAAGCTTTTGGCCAACCCAAATTATGATCTGCGCATATTGGTAGAATGAGAAAAAAGGAAGGATGCAGTGGAGGAAGGACAGCAAGGAGGAGAAGAACTAAATATTCATCGTAAACCACAGATTACTGCCTACATTTGAAAATCGAGAAATCCAGAAACATGGAGGAGGCAAGTACCAAAAGAAGCAGTTAAGGTCGTGGTTCCTCTGGAGAAGAGGCCAAGGGGGTAGGGGTGGGGAGCTGCTTGTCAACAACTGAAGGCTCTGAGATTTTATCCCACTTGCATGCTAACCAGTCAGCTGGCCACAGTTTCATGGAGGCTGGCAGAAGACACAAGACTCCTGCATCAGAGACAAAGAACAGATTGTTAGACACAGCACTAGTAGTAGTATCTTTTCTTTGGTTCCCTGAACCCCAGTTCTCACAGAGTGGTGCCAAGAGAGCCAGATGGTACGTGTACACACAGTGTAAGTACAGGAGAAGAAGCCTGAGCTGAGACAGCCTGAATTGCTAAGAAAGGACAGTAAGTCTGCTTGCCTTTTTTCTTCAGAGGAAGATGCTGTCTCTTCCAAGGTTGCTTGCTATGCAAACATGTCGAAAAAGACTGTAGGGAACAAAGTAGGGCAGTCAGTGCCTCACTCACGAGATGTGAAGACCAATGGAGGAATTCTCAAAAGTGATGTTTTTCTTAATAAACCTCCTCGAATTATTTGATTTTTTAAAACTTACATGCACGTATAACTTTCATAAAAATGAAAATTTACTTAGGAATTTTACACTATTAAAACAAATTGCCTGACACTCCTACTGACTGGGTATCTCTTCTTTCCAACTGAGAGCCAAAGTCGGAAAAAAATTGGAAAAGGAAGTTTTCCAAAACTTCGCGCAGGGCGGGCTGGCCCCAATGAAGGGCGGTCCCAACCCCAGCTGTCCAATCTGTGCTGAGACCCAGGCGGTGAGGCCCGCGAGCCCGCCTTTCCCTGGCCCTGGCCTCGCATCGGGGCAGGCTCCTATACGCCCCGAGCGCCCGGTTCTGCACCTGCAAGACCCGGATGGGGCGGCCCAACGCCGTGGCTGGTGGAGAGATGCAAGCCACGTGTGTCAAGTGCCCGGAGCAGCACTTTTGTAGTTGTGTTGATTGCAATGATCCGGGATGTGAACCAAGCCTCGCTGGAAAAAAAACAAAACAAAACAAAAAAACAAAAAAAAAAACATCATGGTCCAGCTGACTAGCCAGCGGGGGCTCGTTCGGGGCTGAGGGCCAGAGCGGGTCTCCAGAGCACAGCGTAGGAAGAGGGGTGGGCAGCTCTGCCGTGTCGCCGCAGGATCCCCGGCCCCGGGGGACGAACGCGACATCCCCTCGCTGGTGCACACAGGCGCCATGGCCCTACCGGGCGCTCGGACCGCTCGCTCCCGCCCTTGCAGCTCCCTCGCCCGGCCTCTGACCCGCTCGGACCCAGGCCGGGGGCGGACGTGGGCGCTTCTCAGAGAAGCGGGTCTGCACTCCTACCCCTCCCTCCCCGGCCGAAGCCTTCAGCCACGGAGGGAGCCTGGCCTGCGCGGATCCCGTTTATCAGCCCCATCTCCTATTACAAAAGGCGGCGCCTATCTCCAGGGCATCGCCACAACCTCGGGCCTTCTCCCACGCGCGGGGGCGCACCTGCCCACCGCTCCCCGCTTGGTTTTGCTGGTCCTAGAGGGGGAGGGGGCGTTCCACTCATCTTGACGCAGCCCACGGTGGTTCCCCACTCCTTCCACCAACACAGGGACCCCCACGGGAGATGCTACTGGCCCTATTCTGCAGATAAGGAAGCTGAGGTCACAGAAGCAGGCGGCGGCGCTCCAGGCACTGGGGACCCACGAGGGGCAGGGCCCGGCTTGCAAGCGTTAGGGCCTGCAACTGTGCTGGGAAACTTGGGGCTGTGAGAGAAGAGAGGGTGGGAATCACGTTACCAGTGAGAGGAGAGGGTGGGCAAGGCCAGGAGGCTTCTAAGCAGGGGCGACAGCCCCAGCGTCCATTGGAGGACCCTTGTGAGGAGGCTGAGCCCCACTGTCATTGGACAGAGAGGTAGCCTGAGCAGACAGAGAGGGGGCTGAGAGGGGGAGGCACTGGCTTAGGGGAGGAAGTGGGTGAGGCAGAGACTTGACATCAGCACCCAAGAGGCAAATGCTGTGGCCTCAGTTGCACGGGTTTCTGGAGGACTTCTGGAATAGCGGGGAAATGGCCACATGCCAGTGTCCCTGCAGGGGGTGGGCTGCCCACCAGGGACCCTGGAGTGGGGGCAGGCCCAGGAGTCACACTCCACAGCCTTCAATCTGCAAGGGAAACTTGAGGCCTCGGAGGGCAGAGGTGGTCGCCCCAGGTCTCAAGTGGCAGTGGCAACAGTTAGTCTCCAGGGCTAAGGCTGGGTCCACCTCTTGCCGGCCCCACCCACTGAGGGTCTCCCAGCAGGACAGACCCACACTGAAGGCTGAGTGGGGTACCCAGTGTCCAGGCTGCACATGCTGAGAGTTATCAGCGAAACAACTTCTCAAAGGAAAGATCCCAGGAGGATCCCTGAGTCTGACTGGATCTTTCAATAGAGACCTGGGAATCTGCACTTCCATGATCCTTCCCACAGCGGGGCCAACAGGGAATCAGGTGGGCCAAAAGAAGTGAACTTCACCCTTCTCATTTTATCCTGTTTGAATTTTGTACCCAGAGCCAGTATTGTTTTGGTAATGTAACAGACCAGTTCACTGAAAAAAATAAAACCCTCAGATTCCCACATCTGATAGACTGTGGTCACAGCACTGTCTGCCCAGCATTTCTGGTGACCTAAAGGGATCTGAGGACAGGAGCTGGATGGGCACCTAGGGTGGACAATGGGCAAAAATGCTGGATTTCCAGCTGGCACGGTTGACACCAGGCTGCCCTCAGGGCCCTCTCACCTACCCCACCAGTAAGCTCATCCAGATCTTGGAAACTGCCCCAGACCCCTCTCAGTAATAAGTCTACAAGAAATCAAATTCTTTCCTTTACGTGACGCTGGATTTTCCACAAAGTAAAATCAAGATGAGTAAAGATGTGGTTTTTAGATAGTGTCCGACAAAGCGGAGACCAGGGTGTGAGGCATCACCACTTGGGCCTATAAAAGCTGCCACAAGAGGCCAAGGCCACAAGATACTCAGCTTAGGCCAGCCTATGCGTCTTGCTTCTCACTCTTCCTGTGCTGGCTCTAGGCTCCATGGCGCTCTGGTTGACTGTGGTCATTGCTCTCACCTGCTTTGGTGGCCTCGCCTCCCTGGGCCCTGTGCCTCCCTCTACAGCCCTCAAGGAGCTCATTGAAGAGCTGGTCAATATCACCCAGAACCAGAAGGTGAGTGCCTGCTGGCCAGGGTCCCAGCTCTGGGGGTGCAGGGCTGGGGGACTCTCAGGAAGGGTACTGGTCATGGTCTGGGCCATGAAGGCTGGGCCTGGTCCTAAGATGCCTGTAGGTCAGGAAGAAGCTCCAAGGACTAGGGGATGAGCCTGGCCATGGGGGAGGGGAGCCAGGTTGGGGTGGGGGATGCAGTAATATGGGCGGACCCAAGAAGGAATGTGGCAGAGCCCCCAGAGATCACCTGCTCCCCTGGCCTGGCCCTGCCTGCCATGGCCAGCTCCTACTCAGCCGTTTCTGAACAGAGGAGACCAGAGAAGGGCTGGCACCCTCCTAGAACTATTTGGCATCTGCCAATTGGCTTTGAATGTGATAATGGGGCCGTTATTCACAGCATCTTAGTTAAGCCCATTCTTATGGAAGAATCCATCAGTAGAGTCAGCTCCTCTCCCCAGTGGTGACGGCCCACACTTTCCGAGCACTAATAATGTACCAGGCCCACTGCCGGGGCTTTACATCTCATTTCATCGCTGCCAACCACCTTAAGAGACAGGTATGATACCCCATTTTACTAAGTGTCAGTGAGGTTAACTGACGAAAGTCAGATTAAACCAGTATTGGACGACACCAGAGGGCCCATGCTCCGAACTGCGGTATCCCCAATTCAGAAGGTGGGCTGTTTACACACTAGACCCACATGGCCTCCCATCTGATTGGCCTGGTCACCCCCTCCCTCACCCGACACTGCCCTGGATCTTCCCTGCAGGCCCCTGATTGACTGGCCTGTGTCATCTGTCCTCCTGCCCTGGCTATGGCAAGCTTCGCACAAGCCTTGTCCCTTACTGGCTGTGTTACTCAGTTTTTCTCTCTCAGCTCCAAGACCCTGTACAATGGGTCTCCCCTGCTGTGCAGAGCAGGAACTGAAGCTCAGGAACACTGAAGGTCCCAGGCCTGCCCCTGCTATATGGGGATGCCCGTGGGGCCTGATCCCTGTGGAGACTTGGCCTGGGCTGGCTGGGCAGGTCTGGGACCCTGCCAGCACTCAGCTCACTGTCCTCTGCTCCCTCAGGCACCCCTGTGCAACGGCAGCATGGTGTGGAGTGTCAACCTGACAGCCAACATGGTGAGGACCCCTGGGCACTGGGGGGAGGTGGCTGAGGCTGCAGCCCTCTGCTCGTCTTTTCTGAGCCTTGCTCACATGGCTGGCGGTTCCAGGCAGGCTTCAAGAGCCAATCTCCACCCCTCATCATCTGGGCTCCCCACCACCCAGACCCACCTCCACCAGGCCTCCCAGCCCCCTCCCTCCTGCAAACTCACTGAAGAATGTGCTGCCTGACCCCCCGGCGTTTTCATCCCCACAGTACTGTTCGGCCCTGGAAGCCCTGATCAACGTCTCCAACTGCAGTGCCATCCAAAGGACCCAGAGGATGCTGAGCGCACTCTGTCTTCACAAGCCCTCAGCTGGGGTAAGGCCCCCCTGCCCCCCCGACCCTGCACCCACTTCTGCCAGGCCTGGGCTCACCCTGGGAGCTTCAGGGGAAGCTGGCTGAGCATCTGAGGCATGTGTCCACAAAGGGGTGGGCCCACTGTGGAAGCAGGGACGTGCCTTTGGGATTTCCAAGACGTGGCCTGAGGGCTCCTGACTCCTACCTGAGCTTCAGTTCCACATCTGTAAAGTGTGGGTAATACTCACCTCGTGGGGGCTTTTGTGGGGATTGAACCAGCCGGTCCCTGGAAAGCCCCTGGCAGGTGCTGATCGTCCTGGTTCTGGTGTTCCACTAACATGCTGGCCTCTTTGCTCTGCAGCAGGTTTCCAGCGAGCACATCCGAGACACCAAAATTGAAGCAGCCCACTTCTTAAAAGACCTGCTCAAACATTCAAGGATCATTTTTCACTACGGAAAATTCAGCTGAAGCATGAAGAGCTAGCATTATTATTTGCAGAGGCAGACGCTGACCATCTAAGTTGCAGATTTATTTTTCTTTCAGATGTCAGAAATTTCTTGGGGAGACTGGAGGAGGGTTAGGGAGGGGGGTAAGGTTTCCTTAGCTTAGACCTGAGCCTGTGCTGCCTGCCTTGAGTCCAGCCAAGGCCACCTGCCCTGTGCCTTGGTGCCCGGGGCTCAGCCTGGTGGGCCTCCTCCATCTGGGGCTCCGAGCTGGGTGGACAAGGATGGACATTGCCCCACTTGACCTCCCCCACCTCAGAACAAACTAGCATTACAATGGGTGCCACCCTCGTCAGACAGCCAGTGGAAGAGCCACCTGCTTTACACGGGGGCAACCGAGGCAGAGAGCAGCCCAGGCACATTTCTTCTTGGCCTTATTTATTATTGTGTGTTATTTAAACAAGTGTTTTTGTCTGTACTGGGGATAGGGAGGGACTGTTACTGCCAGAACTTGGAGCCAAGGGCCTGGAGACTTGGGGCTCCAGCACTAAAACAGCCAGCATTAGGAATCTCTGGCAATAAGTACTGTATGCAAACTTCTGCTACCTCACTGGGGCCCTGGGGCCGTGGCAGGGGACAGGTCAGAGGGCCAGAGCAGCCACTCTTGTCTGACGGCCAGCAGTCAGCCCTCAGCCGAGTAATTTATTGTTTTTCCTTGTATTTAAAGTTAAGTATTAAAATATGTTATCAAAGAGTTAATAATATATAGGAGAGCAGCCTAGAACACTGCATACGGTGTGGATTGTGGGGAGGGGTCATTGGATAAGTTGTTTCATTGACTTTGTCAAGCTGGAAGCCAGAAATAAAGATGGTGACAAGAGACCTGATGGTGTTTGCCTTTTACGTTGGCCTCTGGGGACGCGGGCCTGTGTTCTGAAGACTCTGAGGAGTGTTTGGGAGGCAGGGCAGTCGGAGGGGGGCCTAGGACGGAGCGGAGGGGGAGTGAAGTACAAGACCTGGGCCGAAAAATAGCAAAGCCAGTGCCTGGGGAGAGGGGACCTGGCCAGGAGGAGTTCCCCACCACCACCTGCAGGGAGGGGGAAGAAGCATGGGCCAGGGTGTCGGGGTTCAAGGGAGGGGTCTGGAGCAGGTAGAGACCTCAGAAGTGGTCTCATGACCCTACAGCCCTGGATGAGTGGCCAGCCTGTGTCTGGCACCACCCACACACCTGCTGGTGTCGCCCATATGAAGCTCAGGGAAGAGAAGGTGGTTTGCCCAAGGTCCCACAGCTGGTATGGAGCAAAGCTAGGATTTGAACCCCAAACTCACTCCAAACTCCAAAGCTCACACACTTAACCACCTTGCCTCCCTCTGTCCAAATGCCATCTGGCCTGAATGCACGACCTTTGTAATACTGTCACCAGCCTGTGTGGTAACCTCCCCTGACGGGGAGCTCACTACTCGCTCTCTAGGTACAGCCCATTCAATGTCTGGACACCTCTCATCACAAGAGAGTGCACACTCGCCACCTCTGTGAACAAAGACGCACCAATGACTTGTGGCCCCTGGACCGTGGAGTGACTGGGGTGGAGAGCCAAGGTCACAGGGCCCTGATCAGACTGCTCCTTTCCAAGCAGGTGTTTTTGCTTCTCCTTCAGTCAAGGCCAGCACGTGGAGGGCAGAAAGCAGCAAGCCTCAGCAAGCCACAGCTAATGGGCACACCCATCAGCCATGGTTTACACTGTGAATATTCAGAAGGACAGGATGCATCTTGCAATGGGTGGCGGGTCATCAGAGACCAGCCTCAAATGCTGAGTGAGAGGCAGGCACCCTCCCTGGGGGGAGCCCAGAGCCCTGTGGGAACATCTAAAGAGATGCTCACAAGTCAGTGGAGGCAGCCACTCAGGAGCAGTGAGAGCTCATGCCGTGTGTGATTCAGGCAGCAGAGGCCATGGCAGGACCTGTCCAGGGTGCAGACTGTGTTACTCAGTTTTTCTCTCTCAGCTCCAAGACCCTGTACAATGGGTCTCCCCTGCTGTGCAGAGCAGGAACTGAAGCTCAGGAACACTGAAGGTCCCAGGCCTGCCCCTGCTATATGGGGATGCCCGTGGGGCCTGATCCCTGTGGAGACTTGGCCTGGGCTGGCTGGGCAGGTCTGGGACCCTGCCAGCACTCAGCTCACTGTCCTCTGCTCCCTCAGGCACCCCTGTGCAACGGCAGCATGGTGTGGAGTGTCAACCTGACAGCCAACATGGTGAGGACCCCTGGGCAGCAGACTGCCCAGGGACCACTCTCAAATGGAATGAACCCCTCATTTCCACCCAGGCAGATGTGAGGGAAGAAGCCACAGTCAACTGTGCAGGGATCTGGGGATGCTCAGCCCAGGGAGGGAAGACCTGGGAGGAGGCACGGGAGCTGAGTGTCCCATGCGCTGTCCCGCGTGGGAAGTGACGGTCTCAGAACCTGTTAAGTCCCACTACATTTGCTGAGGACTGCCTGAGGCCTGCACTGCACCAGCTGCCTGGGCTAGTGGTGACCAAGACACCACATGCACTCAAAGTTTAGCAGCATAAAGAAGTCTTTAAACAGTGGGGGTCTGGAGAAGGGTGCTCTACCCTGGGAGGGTGGGAAGCTCAAGTGTCAGGGGTGAGGGTAGGAGTGAGATCTCCGCTATCCTCCTCCATCCAGAGATTCGAGGATTTTAAGGTCAGAAGAATATTTATGGAAGATTGATTTTTCTTCTTCTTTAACCCAAAATTTAGCTATCCATTCTCTGGTAACATCACCTTTGACCCATGTTCTCTCTGCCCAAGCTGGGCATTGGCCTGTCTGTCCAAAAGGAAGATGGAAAGGCTTCCGGTGCAATTCCCTGTGAATTTCTCAAGAACAAAGACTGGAATTGAGGTTGGCCTGGGCGAGGACCCCTTTGGATTTCCCAAGCCATAGTCAGGAGGGCTCTGCTGCTGGGGGCACAGTGCCGACAGTGCCACCTGGACCCCACCACTAGGGGTCTGCAGCGCACCACATCCTCAGCCACCGGCAGCTCCTTGCCTGCGCCTCCGCCTCACCCGAGACTGTCCCCAGAGAGGAGCCTGTGGTCACGAGGGCGTGTGCAGTGAGCCGGAGGGGGCTGGGGGCCTTCCAGGGATGACAGACCTCACAGAGCCACAGAACCAAGCCGCTGTTACTGGCAGTGGGAAAGGGGGCCAGTCAGGAATGAGAGATAAGGAAGAGAGAGGAAAAAAAAGGTATGTGTCAGCTCTTGTGGCTGGGATCATCACCACCTGGGGACTGACCCTCCGGGTATATGCTGCAAGTTTTCTCTAGCCATGTGGTCTCACTTCTTTCATGCACAAGGCAAACCCCAAACAGGGCCCAGGGAGAAGGGGCGTCAGGAAGAGACAGAAGGCTTGGTGAGTGGGAGGGAGATGCTGGTCATGGGGCCCAGGGTGGGGAGCCCCTTGGCACACCGGGAACCCCAGGCCTAGGAGGTTTCACTGGAAGAGGGGCTGGGGCTCAAGTGAGAAGTGAGACGCACACTCAGGTTTCCAGTGAACTTGGCGCCAAACACCTCTGTTTGCCGCTCAGATGAGGTGTCAGAAGACACTCCGAGTCACCTCAGGGGTTTCTCTGAGGCTGGTCGTCTGAACTGCTCAGGACCCGGGAGGACAAGGGCCTGCATCCTGCTTCCTTGTGACCGAGCAGCTTGAAGGCTGGGGCTTATCAAATGCATCAGCTTTTATCGCTTTTTCGTTATGATCAACGGGGCAGTGCCTTCTGCTTATGATCTTAATTTAGCTGGTCAGTTTGAACAAACTCAAATCCTGCTCCTCCCTTGAGCTGACTCCCTTCTAAGGGAGTCTTAGAAGACCCAGATGAGTCTAGGCTGACCATATCCAGACGGGGCAGCCTGGCCTGGGACACACAGGCCAGGCACCCAGCCTTTCCAGAGGTCCAAGCCGGTGTCAGAACTGGTGGCTGTATCACCCCTCCCACACATGTTGCCCACTCCTACTCTGAAAAATAAAAGTCACAAAGCCTCTTTATCTTCACTCATTTCTCGGCTCCACCCAAAAGCAACAGAGCACAGGGTTTGCAACAAACTTTCCCAGATCAACTGATTTCTCAGCAGCAAGGGAGGGCCCCATGACGAAGCCATTTGAAATCCCAGAAGCGGTTTTCTACTTACGACCTCACTTTCTGTTGCGCTCTCTCCCTTCCCCTCCTGAGTGCCTTCTCTTGTGGAAAGTGATTCTCTCAAAGCGTCGTTCAGAAACACCCCCAGCCCACGTGCTGCCTGGGCAGATGCCGCTGTGTGGTCGCCAGTGACGCAGACGCCATAATTAAATATAGCAACTCTCGTCAGCTCCGCTCTCTGCATCACTTGGACAAGCGTGGGGCCCAAGGGCTCTTCCTGAAACCCACGAAGGTGGGAAGGCCGGAGCTGGCTGTGGCAACCCCTATAGACCCAAGCTGATGGCCTCCGGCGGACCAGAGGGGCCTAGGCCAGAAGGAGTCACCTCACTAGAAAAGCAGTTTCTCATTGTCTTCTCTTTCTTCTAATCACTGTCTTCCCACATTTTCTATGAATAATGAGCATACGTTCATTTCCCACTGGCGGACAAAGACAAATTTAATTAAAAAAAATAAAGCAACAGAACAGGGAATTGACGCCTGGTCCGTGAGGCAGGAGGGAGCTGATCAAGACTGGGGCTGGGAAGGGCCAGCAGCACACCTGGGAGACACGAGCCCAGGACCCCTCATCTCAGGTCTAACTGCTCCCTGGGATCAGCTGTCTCAGGAGAGGAGGTGGGCCTTTGTAGGGGCCTGGGACACAGGAGGTCCTGTACTATTCCTCTCATGGGTTGGACCTCCCTGGGTCAATCAGATCCTGTGTTTCTGAAGAGAGAAGAAGACGTTCCATTCTTGGGGGTCTTTACCTTGCCTGACCTGCCTGGAGGTGGGGACAGGGGATCAGAGGGGGAGGAGATGGGAAAGGGTGGGCCGCCAGCCCAGCTCTGAAGCTGAAGAGACATGGATGCCCTGCAGGTAGATGGACAGCTCCTGCAGACTCCTCAGCCAGCTTCCCTCTCTTCCAGGAGAAGCTACTTTACCATCTGCTTGGCAAAGCCCGAGTCCACAGCCGTGCCTGTCTCAGCCCCTTCCTTCCCTTGTCCCCTCGTCTCCGTGTCAGCGGTCCTCCCTGCATCTATGCCCAGAATCCTATTCCCCCTGCCTTCTACAGGGGCTCAGGGCAAGGACTTCAGGGTCCAAACCACCCTGGCTTCAAGTCCCAGCTGTCCCCTTG